TGACCAAAACCACAGACGGAGTCAAGATACTAAGATTGGCAAGAGAGAAATGTCAAGTTATTTTCAAAGGATGTCCCAGAAACAAGCAAGAGAATGGCAGTCTGATGTTAGCGACGAGACCACAGCAACACTGCAGATTCAATAGGAGAGAGATTAACTACACGAGTCTGAACTAGTGAAATAGAAGTTTTTGACTTTAGACTAAAACATTACTGATTTTCTTCGATGCTTTGATTTCCAGATTGAAGGATTTCTGTCTTCTCTTGAACTGTTGATAGGTTCATCTACCTACTATTTGAACTGAATCCTAACCTTTTTCCTGGCTTTACATTTCTCCTCCTCTTTGGTTCTTTCTGTTCCTTTTCCTTTCCTTTTTACCTTTCTCACTTTCCTACTCAGCCTCCACATACTGATTTTCTAGACAGGTCCAGGCGCTCAGTACCCAAATATCTGAGCACTTTCAGGGTCAGATTATTCCTCAATTTCCACTGAACGAGCTGGGCAAAGGGAGGAAAATGGTACTGTCCATAGGCTGCAGGGCACCTCCTTCTGCATTCCTCTGAATGCTCAGATTTAACTCCAAAAAATAGGAAAAAGTGAATAATCCATCAGATGGCCAGAAACCACCGCAGAGGCACAAGAAATATGAGAAACCAAGAAAATACCTCTCCCCTAATGGGAAAGAATAGCTCCTCTTTCTCCACAGAGAATACAAAGGAACTCAGGGAAAAGTCAGATATGGAATTTAAAATATTCACAGTGGCAAAGCGAACAGAGATGCAAGCGAAGAGAGACAAGGAACTCCAGAAGAAGCAGAACAGAGACCCCGAGTTCCAGGAGGCGAGGGAGTCCTTGCACGATCTGAAAGAGGAGATACACAGCATAAAGAGAATCAGACGGAACTGTCAGAGATGGAGGCTGTCTGAAATACAGGAAACCCAAACTTCCCTTGAAAGTATCAAAAGCAGGTTAGATCATGCAGAAGATCGAATCTTAGATGTACAAGACAGAACCTCTGACCTAGAAGAATTTGCCGAAAAGACTGAGAAACTAACCCCCAAAATGAGAATAACATACAAGAAATACTAGATACCATTAAGCTCCCCAACATCTGGATCATCGGTATCCCAGAAGGTGAAGAAACTAATAAGGGCATTGATAATCCATTCCATGAAATCCTGGAAGAAAACTTTCCAAACCTAGAGAGGCACTCAAATATCCAGACCCAAGAAACACAAAGGATCCTACACAGAATGAACCCAAGAAGATCTTCCCCAAGACACAACATGGCCAGATTGACCAAAACCACAGACGGAGTCAAGATACTAAGATTGGCAAGAGAGAAATGTCAAGTTATTTTCAAAGGATGTCCCAGAAACAAGCAAGAGAATGGCAGTCTGATGTTAGCGACGAGACCACAGCAACACTGCAGATTCAATAGGAGAGAGATTAACTACACGAGTCTGAACTAGTGAAATAGAAGTTTTTGACTTTAGACTAAAACATTACTGATTTTCTTCGATGCTTTGATTTCCAGATTGAAGGATTTCTGTCTTCTCTTGAACTGTTGATAGGTTCATCTACCTACTATTTGAACTGAATCCTAACCTTTTTCCTGGCTTTACATTTTATGCAAATTTCTCTTAACATTTTTTTGATTTTGATCTATTAAAATGAAAACTTTTTAAAAATTAAAAAATACATTAAAAATACCTATTAATACCTACTTAACGACTGCAGTAAGCTATACAGCCTCAGGGAGGTGCTGCTTCATAGCATGTTCACTGTACTCACTGAGGTTTATACCTAAAGTGGGACATGTTCATAAATATGTACGTATCAGCTGTGCTTGCTATTGAGAGTCTTTAAGATCTTCAGTGAAAAAATAAAATGTGAAAAAAAAAGGCATGGAGAATGAATGTACATACCAGGGACTGTGAGGGGGGAGCTGGCAGAGGGTGAGAGGTAGGGAGTCAGGGGGGAAAGGCAAAATATATAAGAAACAAGAAATAGAAAATTATTTGTTGGTGATAGCATGAATGGTACTATCTTTGAGTCAATATACAATGTATACTGGGTGGAAAATCTCATTTTGTATACCGCATCGCTGTACAGCGAATGACTGTAGATAAATTAATTTTTGAAAAAAGGGGTGAAGCTCACAGTCGGGAGATCACCGAGGTAAAGCCACAGTCCGTCAGCCAAACCCTCTCTGAACAAGCAGGTCGGCTCCAGCTCCCATGGCGTGTGCTGCACCGAACCCCGCGGGGCTAGCTCTTGCTAACGTGTTCGCGGCGTTACCGTTTCAGCCGTTTTGAGCGTACACCCCGAGGCATTCAACACACTCATCGTGCTGTATAACTTGCCACCGTTCTCGATTTTTTTCATCATTCCAAACAGAAACTCTGTACCCATTAGGCAACATCTCCAGCCCCCCACGCCCCCAGCCTGATAACCTCCAGTCCACGTTCGGACTCTGAATTGGCCGGTGCTGGGCCCTCGTGTTTGTGGGCTCAGCGTCTGGCTCGTGTCACTAGCTCCCAAGGTTTGCTCAGACTGTAGCACGTGTCGGAACGCCACCGCTCTCTGAGGCTGACTCAGACTCCACGGCCTGTTCAGACCACGCTTTTTCCTCCAGCGTTTGCACCTCTGGCTGAGGTCTGCACTTGCGTTGCTGAGAGCTCTTCTCGTCAGTGCGTTCGTCTGCAGCCCCCAATTTCGCTCTGAGCCCTGTCTTTCCTGCCTCCCATAGGGACCGGGACGCTGCTGTCTTGCGGTCACTCGGTCCAGGATCATTTCAAGTTTCCTGTGATCCCTTCCTTGATCCGTGATTCAGAGGGTGTGGGCTCATTTCTGCATTTGTGATTTCTTCTCAGCCTGAGCGATTTTCAGTAGCCCTGGCGGACCTCTCAGCACTTCTCGAGAGGAGGCTAAACAACCTTTAAACTAATTTCTGCGTCTGCCCAAAACTCAGATACAAATTAATCACGAGGTGATCCCAGGCCTGCCCAAACAACGATGCTCTCCCCAGGGCACAAGAGGCTTTCAGAATGTCCATGGGAAACATGTGTCATGAAAACTACGAATGGATTTTGAAAGCTCTCTGGGCCAGATGAAGTCATACTTGAAGAACACGCTGGGTGTGTATGTACGTGTGTGTCCAAACTATTGATAGGAAAAAGTGGAGCAGGCACTGCCCTGCAGCTACACCCCACTGGGGGCGCTTTCTCTCTCTCTGCTTCTCTGTCTCTCTCTGAAGAACGCAGAAGTGGCTGAAGTGGTGGCTGAAGTGCTGAACTCCCTCATGGCTGACCACAGTCAGAGTCCTGGACCTGGCAGCTTGTTCTCTCACTTTCTCTCTCTCTGGTCAAATTAAAAAATATGTATATAATAATAAATAAATAAAATTAATTATTTAAAAAATAGTGCTTGATGAAAATAACCCTCTTGTGATTTTAATAAGTATTCTAAAACTAGAGAAGCTTAAGAAATCTTTTTAAAAAAAATATGTGAAGATAGAAACAGCAATACTGATTTTGAAAAGGCTGTGATGTCGCGGTGGTTTACTGGGCAAATACAAAGGAGAAGTTCTTGCATTTGTTTTAAAGGCGAAATCAAAGGGATTAGGAACCAGAACACATGCCCTCCGAAAGTCAGAAACATAAATTAGAGTTAATAACTAGGCACCTAAAGTGTACAGGTGAGATAGCACTGAGAAGTGTGGACAGCCGCACTCCTAAGCAACTCCTGAAATGTTTGTACACACAAAGGAGAAGCATGGGAGACGAATTTCTAAATGAAGATAATTTACTCTTAAAAAAACAACCCTGGGAAACCAGCAGTTAGCGTAATGGCTATGTCACTGGACTCCCACGTAGTCGACTGCGGTTCGCGTCCCGGACCCGATGGCTTAAAACTCACGCCGGGCGCGTGTGCGTGCATGCCCAAGATCCTGAGAGGAGAATGGAGGAGAAGGGATTGTGGTGTGACCATCCCCCCTGGGGGGTGATTTCTTGCTTTCTGTCTCTCTGTCTCTCTCTGTCTGTCTGGCGAGCGCACGCGCCCTATAGTGAAAATCTCTCCAAAAAAAAAAAAACAACCCTGAATTCGAATTCTGAATGACAGGCCCATGTTTAAGGTACTGGTGGGTAGGAGAAAAGAGCTTCTGAAATTTATATATTTGATTAAAATGTAAGCATTTTAATAAAACTATTACAATAGCATACAGTAGATATCATAATGAAAAATATATGTCAGGAAAATAAGGAACTCTAGACTTAAAATTTTACTTTACAACAAGGCACTTAACACATTGAAACAGTACAGTAAGTTTTCAAAAGAATGCATTTGGCTGCCTCTCAAAACTTGTAATCATATTTCTTTTGTGAATAAACTGTAACATAACTATACAGTCTGCAGCATTAATCATTGCATAGAAGGTAAATTAAATAATGAATTCTAACTTGGCAACTAGATTAGCTTATGTTTATCGTTTCTTCTTTTTCTTTTAAAGGACAGTTTTAAATAATTCCACAGTAACACACTCTTCTCATTCAGGATTCATTTAGAACACAACAGAGTTATAAGAACAAGTAATAAAATAACTCAGAAACATCAGGTGTGTCTCAGTGTAAAACCTGGTCTTTGGGTACCTCTGACTTGATTCTCAAAGTCTGGGTAAGGAAGGCAAGTGCACTTCTTAATAGAAGAAATATTTTTAGCAATTGAGTCAAAGGAGTTAAATTATTGCAACATAATGACGTTACAAACAAAAACACCAGGAGTCTTCTTCACACGTACAAGTAGGGAAGCCTTCCACACACGGCATGTACTTCTACGATGCTTGATTTCAACATGTAAACTTATTTATTAAGAAACTCCTTCTCGCAATTCTTTACACCAAAGAAATGAGTGTGTTAAGACTGGCTTATAATTTTTAAATAAGCTTTACAGTGCAAAACAAAAACACTAACAAAAAATTAAAGAAAATGTTCAAAATATTCAAGGAACAAGATACAAGCTTTTAATAAAACAAGAAACAGCATGAGTTCAAGCACGTACATAAAAAGAAAGAGCTCCAATGTGGGGTTTCGGAGTAGACAAAGAGTAACAGTTACAACGAAAGGGAGACATTAATGATTGTGACAATGACAGGTGAGAAGGCTCTGCAAGTTTTCTTTGATCAAATGGATAAAGGAATGAAAACTGCAGCTATGGTGCACATTTTCCCTTCGTGAAAAGTTTAACATGCCTTTAAAATAATTACTCTCACAAGCTATTTTCAAATTACTGGCAAAAATTAAAAAACAAATGCCTTTTAAAAACGTGAACATACACTTTCAAAAGTTGTATTCCAAGTCACATAGCATATCGCCACATGGGGGCACTGCTGACACAGCAAGGACCCCTGTGCTGTCCTCACTAACCAGGCTGGACCAAGGCACGCAGCTCCCAGACCCCAGTCAGAAGGACGCAGATTCGCTGTCAGTTCAGGGGAACTCGGGGAGAATGTTTACTGTCAGATTTCGTGGAGGGGCTCAGACACTTGAAGGAATTCAGGAAAAGGAAACGTGACATCGTTTACAGGAACGGTGTGTTGGAGCTATTTAGCAGGACTAAATTACAGAAACAGCTTTGAACAGGGGGACAGCTCGATGATGAGGATAACGACTAAGATCTAGTGTCCCTCGGCAGAGAAAAGGCGCTCTGAAGAGGAGCTGTTTCAAGGCCAAGGTTGTAGTTGTTTGTGTTTTACGCGCCCAGGTGGCATGCGGGTTAGGCCTCTCACCTTTGGTTTCCTGAATGTGAGTGTCAGGTTTCTTTTATTTTCCTCATCATGAAACTTTGACTTTCTGTCCCTTCTTTTGAAAGCCCAAGCTTCCCCGACCCTGTCAGAGAGCAAGGGCGTGTGTAAGGAACGGGCAGCGGCATCCACACGCATGGTGGGGTGCTTTTACAGTTCCTCAAAAGGTGGTGGTGGTGTTTCTTCACTAACTGAATTATCTGACCCAAAGGCAAGGCTGGCTAGTTTCAAGATGTCCAATAATCAATACACAATTATTAAAAAAAAAACTTAAATGCTTTTCCTTATTCAATTGAAGAGAAGGATGTCCAAGACACAGCTGAGTAAGGCTTGCAGGTATATCAGATTGTTTTATTTGAATTAGAAGCTCGAGAAAAACACCAATGTCAGGGCAGCAAAACCCAGGCTTCCAGCTGGAAGCTTTCCCTCAAAATCAGACATCAGGAACCGCCAATCCGTGTTTTCAAACGAGACGCCAGGCTCTATCCCAAGTGTCAACAGTTAATGAACTGACGGCGGGAGTTGTACAACTGGGGCACACACAGCGGTGAGCTGGGAATGGCTTAGTGGTTTACTTAATGGGAAATACCGGGAAAATCCTTGTGTTTCAAACCTGCCAAAAGTGTTGGGGGGGGGTCAACTGTTGTTTAAAATAACAGATTGGAGAGTCTTCCTGCCTCTGGGTTTAGCCGCTAATTCCTTTAGCGATTCTCCCGTTACAGAGTCGTTCTGAGAACATGAACAGAGTAATTTTAGCACCAAAGGGCGATGGACCCTCCGAACAGACTTCACTTGCTCTCCCCAGCGGCGTGAAGGTCGGTTGTGCGTAACCAAGGCCGGCTGCTCACCATGGGCAGTTTAGAGGTGTGCCCATGAAGGGAACGCGTCGCCTTTGACCCTCTGCCCAGCTCGGTGGCCCTGTCCTTTCAAGGCCATTTGCAGCCGTGCAAATGGACCTTCAAGTAGTTAGGAAATTAGGTCAAGAATCATCTAGAAGGTTTTTTCTTCATAGTTTTTCCATAGTGCATGTGCGCTCACCTGAGAGACACAGAGAAAGTGAGAAATCGCCCCAAGGGGACAGCCACGCTGCAGTCCTCCAGGCTCCCAGCATGATTTTCAAGCTGCCGGGCCTAGGACTTCGATGCCCAGCCGGCCCGTGGGATCCAGCGCCTTAACCTCTACGCCACCTGCTGGCCCGAATTAGCTAACGGTTGAACTAAACTAGCACTAAATCGTGTGCTGAGCCGGATAGCATTAAAGCTGATCTGATTTGTTTTAATCCATCTTTTGGCATCAACTGAATGACGTTAGGAGCCGCGCCCATCCTGTGTGGCAATAACCAGTGCTCCGGGCTCACCGTGTCCTGTCTTCCCGGGTGAGAGGGACATCGCCGACTGTGGGCTCGTTCTTAGCATCACCCCGAGAGGCCGAGTGTTTCGCTAAATGGCAAAGACACATTGAACGCGTGGGCTCGCTCCTGGCTTTTCCACGGAGCAGTGTGGTGAGGAAGGGAATCTGAGGGAGCCGTGAGCACGTGCACTTGAGTCCACTCAGCAGCTCTACCAGCAGCTCTCACAGGGTCTGGCCTGGAAGGCGACAGGCACGCTCCCCGGGTGTGCGCCGTTCACCCACGTGCTTTCAGCCTGGGCTCCAGCCGTGGGGCGGGAGGTGGGGGCAGCAGGTGCAAACTGACCGGCTGAGGGCGTCTAAGTGTGTCCGTAGCCCCTCGCCAGCGGGAACAGCCTCGCGCTTCCTGCGTGTCTGCCGTGGAGACCTCAGCGTGGAATATTTACACACGTGCAAAGTCTATGGACCAGATTTACGTGGGTCACCCTTCTTAAAAATAAAATGATTGGTTAAAAACAAAGAAGTAAACCTGACGCGCAGCGCGCCGGGAGGTAGCAGCAGCAAGAATCCCTGGCTGGCCCGGGCCTTCCCCGCATCCTTCCTAGGGGTGACACGGGGTTCACCAAGGGGGACTCAGGACCCAGGGTCTCCCCACCCTCAGCCTGAAGCTCGAACCGCTCCCAGGTCCGGATTACACAGTGGCCACTGTACACAGTGGCTGTATACATCCAGATATTTTATTTAAAATGTTAACAAACTCTTCTGACCGAGGGAGGAAAAGATCCTGAAAAAATTCTCAAGTAGAAGTTTTGGTGGAGGAGGAGGAAAGGAGTCGTGTCTTTGGCACCGTTTGGACACACGCGCAAGGACGGCCCCGCTGGGGCTCTCACCGGGGCGAGGAGCTGGCTGCTGCTTTCTCAGAAGGGATAAAAAACCTGTCCAAGGCAGCACTTCGTTCAACCTTCCCAACGGCTCACACAAAGCTTGGTCCATTCTTCATCTGCCAGTTCTCCTAAAATAAAGACGAAACTATGCCTTTGGTTACAGCGTGGACTTTTGGTGTGGGCGGACACCGCTGGCCTGCCCTCAGGTGGATTTCTCGTTGTCCTCACCGATCTTCTGGACCCGCGAGTACTTTTTGCAGGATGATTTGAAGCAGCCAGGAGGCCAGGACAGTGGCCAGGAGAAGCAGCAAGGGATTGAGCCTTGTACATTCTTCTCAAAAAAATAAAAGATGGGGAACCACCACGCCCGAGACAGGAAATTCGTCTGTGACGAGACCTTCAAGTTCTGTAAATGGCGGGAGCAAAGTATAGTGAGCAAAGCACAGTGCTGTCGTGATCTTGCCCGACTTTCTCACTTACTGGCCACCGGCTGTAACCAAGCCGGGAGGGCGGCTCCCACCAGCTGGCCCCACGCGGGGAGGGCGGCTTTCTCTGGCTGTAACCGAGCCGGGAGGGCGGCGGCTCCCATGGCCGTCCCTTCCCCAGCTCCACCTGGCTCATGCCATACCCTCTGCCCTGCGGGCCCTTCCCTCCTCGGGCTCATGAGGCCCCTGCTGCAGTCCGACCAGACGGACCCCCGAGAAAGCTGGTGAGAGTCATGTGGGACAGAGAGCTGCCAGGATGTGGGAATGGCTGGGTCTCAGGGCAGGACGAAGAAGCGCGAAGAGCTGAGAAGGGTGCCGACTGCAGCAGGTCTGACCCCATGGTGTGGTATTAAGGGAGCTGGACCCCATATGGCTGACTGCATGGTTCAAATCCTGGCCAGTCTGAAAAGCAGGCTGGACGCATGTGTACAAGTGTCCAAAACCCTGACAAGATGGAGAAATGGAGGAGAAGGGATGGCAGTGTGGCCACTACCCCCCCCCGGGGCCCTCCCCGGCAACCCCACTGGTGAGTGCGCACGCCCTATGGCAATGAGAAGAAAAGGAGAGGTTGAAAGGAAGGTGAGGCTTTGGGCTCAGTGGGTCAGAGATAACCAGAAGGAAATCAGAAAAGGAGACCCCCCACCCCAGTGTTCCAGACAGCGTTTACTGGCCAACACCAGGAGCCGGGTGCGGGTCCGTGGTAAACAGCGCATTTCAACCACTCACGAGCACCAAACATCACACAGATCAGACAGTAGAGGAAGTCGTGCTTCACAGTCTAGCTCTGTCACCCCCAGGACACATTCCAAGGGTAGGAAAACAGAGGAGGGCAAGAATATTTCATCTTGGGACCAGAGAGGGAGTAGGAGTTAGGGAAGGCTTCCTAGAAGAGGTGGCATTTGAGCTGCCTCTTTAAGAATGAATAGGAGAGGAGGAAGAAGACCATCTATGAATAAGGAAGGAGAAGGGAGGCACCCTGACTTGCCTAAGGGAGGAGTTGTTTTGCCTGATTTGGGGAGGGGGAGCTGGCATCTTTCCCTCGGAATTACTTTAAGCCCTTTGAGGCAGGCCTGGTCTTACTGCACTGCTCACAGTGCTCCCACCAGGAAGCGCCGGGCTCTAGCAGCACGTGCATTCTTCAGCTCCCCAGGACCGGCCGACCGGCTGCAACACCTCACTTATTCTGCAGCACCCTTCCCCTGCACTGACGCTATCGCGACAGCAGCTCGCCCAGCAGCCAGCAGGGACCCTGTGGAAGGGGTGAAGCGGTGGAGGACGGAGGAGCCAGGACGTCCCAGCGCTCACCTTCTCATTGGCCATGGAGTGGTACCACCAGAACAGCCGCGTGGTGATGTAGTAGGCGATGACCACGTCCACGGTGTAGTGCTCGTGCGCCACCAGGATGCAGACGATGCCGGCCGCGCTCAGCAGCCAGCACACCAGGTGGTACCACCAGAAGTGGCGGGGCGAGTCTGCAGGGACAGACAGCCGTCAGCACACCCTGGGGGGCCGGGCCCATGCCCCCAGGTTTCCAGGTTTCCAGGTTTGGGGAGCACCCGAAGGAGAAACCGCCGTCCCCAGTTTGCTCGGGTGCGGGGCCAGGCCCTCAGCCTCCCGATGGCCTGGGCCCTGCCCGCTGCTCAGCTGCCCAATGTGGAGGGAATGTGGCGCCTTTCCAGGCAGGCAGGGGCGTGTGGGGCAGGCGGGGCAGGCCCAGGACAGCACAGAACCCAGCGGGAATCAAACGGGCGGGTCTGAGGAAAGGCTGTTGCCTGGGAAAAGGCGAAGAGCAGGCATCATTTCTCCTTTGCTGTCTTAAACTCGCTTTGACCTTTCCAGCACGGGTGGGGTGGCCGTGGCTGGACGTTTGGACTCTTGGCCATTTAAACTGCCTGTGCCCAGAGGACCACGAGGCGCTGCAGCGTGGGGAGCTTGCTGCTGGCGTCTGGACTTCCGGCCTTCCTAGGGAAGGTGCCTTGGCCCACTGCAGGAGACCCATGGCACTCGGCGGTGACATGACCACACCCCACCACCCTTTCGCTTGGGTATCAGTCTAGCGCCACCCACAGCAGTGACTCTGTCCTCCGTTTTCTGATTATTACTTTAAAGCTTTATTAGCTCACGCTAAAAGTTAATAAAGCAATAAGCTGACATTTATTTCCTAAATGACTGTGTTTGCATCTCTGTGACTTTTAGTGCGGAGGGACGGCCGACTTGTAAGAGGACCCGTTTCCGGAAGTGTCCGTGAGGTGCCAGATCAGGCGTTGTTCACTATGAAATCGTTTTTGGTAAAACAGCTGCTGCTCTCGGGGCCCTAAGTGGGACCGAAGAGTGAACCTAGGGGTGACTGTCCTGTTAAGCTCAGAACATTAAAAATTGAACCAACATTTAAAAAACTGGAATCTTGGGGCCAGCAGGCGGTGTAGTGGTTAAGGCGCTTGACTCCCATGTGGCTGACTGCAGTTCAAGTCCCAGTTCTGGTAACTTGAAGCTCACACTGGGCACATGTGTGTGTGTGCCCAAATTCCTGAGAGGATAATCGAGGAGAAGTGACTTTGGTGTGGCCATGCCCCCTGGGGGTGATTTCTCGCTTTCTGTCTCTCTCTCTCTGTGTCTCCAGTGAGTGCATGCCCCCTATAGCAAAAATCTCTCTCTCTCTCAAAAAGTCATGGCAAATCTTTCTAAGTTTTTCTATGAGAAAATGTATCATGACTTTTCTGACGACTCAATAAATATGGAGAGCGATTTCCATCTCTTAACTCCGTATTTCTCCTAAGAAGGAACCGGTCAGGACCGGGAGCACGTCACACAGAGCGCTGTTCTGGAGGCAGGCTACACGCCGGAGCAGAAGCCAGGGCCGGCGGCAGCTGTGTCTGTCAGAGGGCTGCTGGGAAGGATTTTACACACACATGCACACGGACTCACGCCTGCCTCTTCCACGGCTACACAGCTGTCAACCCCAATAGAGTAAGGGCCCCTAGGGTCACACCCGGGGACTCTTCCACGGCACCAAAGGATGGGGGGCCATTTTAAACTGCTACTTACATTCTTTGATGAACAAGTACGTAAGCGTCAGTACGACCGTGTGACCACTGAAGAGGAAGTCCCCACACAAGATGTGGGACCCGGTGATGGACAGCCCACCGCCAGAAATCAGCCGGAGAATCCGCTGCACCTTGGCCTGGGAGTCCCCGTTAAGCTGAATGACAGGACAGCGGGAAGAACATTTTTAAGTTATAAAATCACATTTTGGAGTAACTGTGTGACAGGTAGGAAGGTCACTGGGTTGTCACCTTTTTTCTTTTTAACCAAAAAAAAAAAAAGAAAGAAAGAAAGCCCAAGGAGAAGCAGCTGTTTATTCATTGTGCTGAAAACTGTATTGACAGGGCTTAAATTATTCAATATGTTGCTAATAATATGTTCCGGCGGTGGTGTGTCCTTGGGCAAAGCTTTTAGAAATATTAATAACTGATGACTTCACTGAGCCCTGCACTAAGCAGCAGACCAGAGCGACTGCTCTGTGCAGGCAGTGAGGGTTTCGGACGTGATGTTCGATGGAGTCCTTCCCCACATGCTGCCCCCAGGTGCACTGGGGCCTCGTGGCGGGCGGGCGGCCTGGAGTGCACACACGGCTTTACTAACGTCTGACCAATACGCGCCGTTAACAAGAGGCCCCGCCACTCCTTACGTAACTGAAATAGGCCTGAGAGCGAAGGATGAGGGCGGTACCGGCAGCTTCCCAAGTGAGGCGCTTCTCTCAGGAAAAGCATCTACACAGAACCTGGGCGGGTTCAGGAAAGCGCTCCCTGGGACCTGGGTACAGAAGCCCCCAGAAGCCACTGGGAGGATGCGGCAAATGGAAGTGGGTGGGCCACGGCAGGACCTGGGGGCAGTGGTCCATGTGCCCTGTTCATCTGAAGCCCACAGGGAGGGGTTGGCCAAAGTGCCCCGCACGGATGGTCGGAGCTCCTGGATGTAAGGGCTGGACCGAGGCTCTGTTCCCCTTGCACGGAGCAGCCAGCTGGAGCCCAGAGTGGCACTCAGGAAGAGACCGGAAACAGCAGAGGAAGGAACAGGCCATCACCAACAAGGGAGCGGGCATGTGGCACGTGGCCCTCTTTACGCATGATGACCATCTGGGTAGACGACCCTGCAGCAGGGCTGGTCTGGCCACGACGCTGGCTAAGCTTCCCGGTGACGTCAGATGCTGCATGGTGGTAACACAGGTGTGAGGGTGCACAGAGGGGTGAGATACAGGTCAGGAGCAGAGAAATGCAGGTGGCCCCACAGGGGGTGGGAGACCTCCCTGTCCTGTGCAATAAGAAATTGGGGCAAGAGGCCTGCAGGTGGTATAGTGGTTAAGGCACTAAACTCCCATGTGGCAAACCACAGTTCAAGTCTTGGACCTGGCAGCTGAAAACTCATGCTGGACATGTGTGCGTGCATGCCTAAAGTCCTGAGAGGAGAACAGAGAAGAGACTGCAGTGTGATCATCCCCAAGGTGGATAATTTCTCACTTTCTGTGTCTCTGGTGAGTGCACACGCCATATGGCAAAAAAAAACTGTTAAAAAAAAAAGAATCTGAGCGAGGCTCCTCATCTGAAACATCCCTCCTGAGCCAACGCGCCCTGATCGTAAAGAATGCCATAAACCTGGAACTCTCTGCTACTCGGATGGTCCTTGTGGAGATGCAAACACGCCGTGGTTGCTGGATGGTTGAAAACAAGGCACTGCGTGAAAGATGACAAAATGGGATTCCAGGCAGGGTGAGAGACTGGAGGCTTCAAAACCATTCCACCTTTGGGAACCAGCAGTTAGCGTAATGGCTATGTCGCTGGGCTCCCACGTAGTCGACCGCGGTTTGTGTCCCGGACCCAGTGGCTTAAAACTCACGCCGGGCGCGTGTGCGTGCGTGCCCAAGATCCCGAGAGGAGAATGGAGGAGAAGGAATTGCGGCGTGACCATCCCCCCTGGGGGGTGATTTCTCGCTTTCTGTCTCTCTGTCTCTCTCTGTCTGTCTGGCGAGCGCATGTGCCCTACAGTGAAAATCTCTCCAAAAAAAAAAACCATTCCACCTTTTTCAAAGTCTGCCTATGGCAAGCCCAGGTTGCAAACTTGAGAGCATTAGCAGGTCTCCAAGAGCAGATGGGCGCAGACGGTCCTTAACCTGGCCTCGAGAGACGGTGGGAAGCCGCGGCGGACCCGCACCGGAGGAGGACGGGACGGCAGGTCTCAGCACTCACTTCGGGGCCCCTCAGAGGTGGCCCACGAACCCGCAGCACACCATGACGCGTGAGGGCCAGGCAGAGTGAGCTGTGTGCGGGGTAGGCCAGTGCGGGCCTTCGTGGTTCTGCGCAGGTCAGTTCAAGCAGCCGTCCACCCGGAGCTGAACGAGAAGGCGCCGTCTCCCCACCACTGAGTTCCAGCTCGAGAGGACACATTCTTCATTTCAAAACCATCGTGGATTTTTAACCACTCACCCATCCCAGCCCTGAACTCTAATTTCCTAAGGGCAAAGCCACCTGAAGCCACCAGCCCCTGTACAGGGGTCACGTGGACATGAGGTCCCAGCATACTGGGGTCACGTGGATGGCAGGTCACAGCACACTGGGGTCACAGCACCATGGGGTCACGTGGATGGCAGGTCACAGTATATTGGGGGTCATGAGGACATGAGGTCACAGCACGAGGGTCACAAGGATATGAGGTCTCAGCATACCCGGGTCACGAGGACACGAGGTCTCAGCACGCCGAGGTGGTGTGGATGTGAGGTCCCAGCACACTGTGGTCATATGGATACAAGGTTGTCGAGAGTCACGTGGACGACAGGTCACAGCGCATGAGGTCACAGCACAGTGGGACCACGTGGACACGAGGTCACGGCACAGTGGGACCACGTGGACACGAGGTCACGGCACAGTGGGGACCACGTGGACACGAGGTCACGGCACAGTGGGGACCACGTGGATGAGAGGTCACAGCACACCAGATGCTGACATCAGAGGAGCCCTCCCACAGCAGGGCTGGTGTTGCAGGTTCCCGACAGCACTGATCCCACGCCCATGCACACACGCAGGGACAAGTCACTCTCCAGGCCCTTCCTGTCATAGTTCTTGTCCCCAGCCCTGTTGGGGCTACCCAGAGACATAGGAGCACGTTTAGCACAAACATGCAAGGGACCCTCAATGAAGGAAAACAGGAAGGACACGCGTAGAAAGAACGCGGGCACAGAGGGCAGCGAGGGTCAGGGCTGACCTCCCAGTCCTGCTCTGGCTCACCGGGAATCCCGTCCGCATCTCCTAGGACTCCCCTTCCACCTAATTTCTCGTCCCATGCCTCCTATGCCATTGCAGGATGTGGCACTGAAGATGCTGGGACCCAGGAGGAAAAGCCTCCCTCCAGGAGCAGGGCTGAGGGGACTCGGTGCCCTGAGGGGTCCCTACCCTGACAGGCAGGCATAGGCGGGGCTGACATGGCTGCTGAAGGAGGAACCCTGCTACACACAGGCCCCTCCAGCTACGAGGACACGTCCTGGCCCAGTGTGGCACAGGCAGAGGCACCACTGCACGGTACTGGATCCATAGGGAAGGCCAGGGGTTCAGATCCCGGATCAGCCTGCACACGCCGGCCAGGCCTGTGGGATGGAAGGCTGTGAGGAGGGTCACAGGGTCCCTGTCTCTCTCTCCTTCTTATGAAATAAAAAACAATGAACTTATAATAAGTAAATTCATATAGTCTTCTGGTCATCTATGGCAGCGTGGGGGAGAGAGCTCGCCGAGAACACTTTCTCTGGGAAGGAGCATCTCACTGTCCCAGCGAACATGTATGTGATAAGTATGTACATGTATGTACGTAAGCAGTTTATAACTGGACCAGAGTTTATCCAAACACGTGAAGAAGGACCCTTCCTTTTTTTTTTTTTTTTTTTTTTTAAGTTTTGCCATAGGGCGCATGTGCTGGCTGGAGAGACAGAGACGATGAGAGGGAAAGTGAGAAATCACCCCCCGCATGGGATGGATGGCCACACCACAATCCCTTCTCCTTCTCCTCCACTGTCCTCCTGGGATTCTGGGCATGCACACACATGCACATGCACCCAGCATGATTTAAACCGCTGAGTCCAGGACTCAAACTGCAGTTGGCCATGTGGGAGTTCAGTGGGTGGTTAAAGTGAACGGTAAGTTAAAGACCTAAAGCAAACTGCAGGATGACGAGGGGGAGCCGAGGAGCACGATGACCGCCCAGGACTCCCCAGGGCGGCTCCCGAGGTGACAGCATCAGGTAAGAACCGACAGCCCCCATGGTGACAGAGCCATGTGACTGCTCCCTGTTGGGAGCTTTCTGCACAGCCAGCGGCAGGAGATCACAAGTGGCCTGGGAGCCCTGCCGCCTCCAAAAGCCGTGCCACTCACAGCAGCACATGGACCCACGCTAGAGCATGCTTCATGGTATAACATGATCTGCGTTAGAGTGCCGGCCATGTTAGCACGCCGTCCATGTTAGAGCGCGTCCACGGTCCACGCGAGTGCGCCATCCATGTTAGAACTCCGTCCATGCCAGTGCGCCGTCCACATTAGAGTGGCATCCACAGTAGAACACGATCCATGTTAGAGAGCAGTCCACGTTAGAGCATTGTCCATGCCAGTGCATCATCCACCTGAGAGTGCCATCCACAGCAGTGCGCCATCCACGTTAGAGCACATCCACGTTACAGCACATCCATGCTGGTGCGCCGTCCACGTTAGAGCACATCCATGTTACAACACATCCATGCTGGTGCACCGTCCACGTTAGAGCACATCCATGCTGGTGTGCCGTCCACGTTAGAGTGCCATCCATGTTACAACACATCCATGCTAGCACGCCGTCCACGTTAGAGCACATCCATGCTAGCGTGCCGTCCACGTTAGAGTGCCATCCATGTTAGAGCACATCCATGCTGGTGCGCCGTCCACGTTAGAGCACTGTCTATGTTACAACGCCATCCATGTTGGAGTGGCACCCACAATAGAACATGATCCACGTTAAAGAGCAGTCCATGTTAGAGTGCTGTCCATGCTAGTGCGTCGTCCACACTAGTGCGCTATCCATGTTAGAGCACTGTCCATGGTAGAACATGATCCACGTTAGAGAGCAGTCCACATTAGAGTGCTGTCCACGCTACTGTGTTATCCACGTTCAAGCATGTCCGAGGTAGAACATGATCCACATTAGAGTGTTGTCCATGCTAGCGTGCATCCACGTTAGCACACTGTCCACCGTAGAGCGCTGTCCGCAGTAGAACATGATCCACGTTAGAGCGCCGTCCTGCCAGCCATCCCTACAACACGTCCCTGCCAGCCAGCAGCTCCCTGTGCTTGTCCGGAACCACGGCCAGGCACCTGCTGTGCTCAGGCAGAGGTCTGATGGCGAGCGGGGAGAGGGTGCAGAGAGACCAGAGCTCTCACCGAGTACCGGAGCATGGCCATCCTGAGGCATACTGCTGACGTGGCCACTCACACTGCAGCTGCTCCCCTGAGGGTGCTCTCTCATCTCTGTAACCACCGCAGTTCATCCCTGCAGACCTCATCCACTCCCGGGACAGGCCACCGCCCTCTCTGTGGCTGTGTCCCCATTGAGCAAACATGCGATCGCTTACGGGACGTGTCATTATGCTCCTGAGCCCCTCCCAAGCCTTAAATCGGTCTCACTGGAAAGCACCCTGTTAGGACTGGGAACGTGCTGTGCTAATTACAGAGCCCGGGCTGTGGTGGCTTCGGGAAATGACGGCTTCTGCAGACCACACCTGTATTTGGTGAGGGGCTGTGGCTTCTCCAGAACAGCGGGGCCCTCTGCTGCAGACGTGGGCAGATGCCCAGTGGAATGTGGTACTGGACACCACTGCTCCGTGCAGGAAACGAGAGCTGGGGGAGTCCCTTTTATAAACAAGGCCTGACAGGGTCGAGGATGGCTAACAGGTCTCTTGGGAACTGTCTGGGAAACAGCCCT